TTCCTTGTCCAATGCTTTTGAAACCTCCAAGCTGGCTAGGGAATTCTGGGATTTGAAGTCCACACATCTACAAGTTGCCAAGGTTGAAACACACTGTGTTACTTCTTTCCCTAGATCAGTGATGGCTAACCTTTTTGTCGCCACGCGCTGAAAGCACGCAGATGCACCCATGATGCAATGCACGTGTGACCCACCCCTGCACCCCTCCCCCGCACATGCACGCATGTCTCCCGCATGCGTCCTGTTCCCATGCATGTGCGGCAGAGACCCAAAAACCAGGTAGCTGCCTGGAGGCATGCGTGAATGCATGGTAGATCTGAGCTGGGGCGATGGCTCACGAGCCCATAGAGAGGGCTCTGGGTGCTACCTATGGCACTCATGCCATAGGTTCACCATCACAGCCCGAGATGAATAATTGGAGGAATGTGTTCCTAATACAGGAATATAGGGCTTTTTGGCTAGGCTGCTATTCTGTATTTTAACTATGGGAATAATAATAGATTGCTTATATTTTTGCAGCCATATTTGGGATTAAAATGAAAAACACCCATCACAACTGGACCAGCAGTAATCAAAGAAATAACCCCCACTGAGTTTAGTGTAATAATGACCAACATTATTATTTTTAGCCTTAATCGTATCTAACATCATTTGCATTTTTAATTCGGTGGACACACAGAAGATTTTGTTTACATGTAACTGCTACATTCAGGGATGGCGTTATAGGGTCATTGATAAACACAAGATATGGCAGTGACAGCACTATAATAAAAAAATCAGTTGAGGCAAAGCAGATGAAAGGCAAATCATAAGGTTTAAGAGCAGCAATTAGGCAGAATGAAACTGCCTTTGCAAAACATAGAAGCAAAGTGTTTATATTTGCCACAATTAGGAAAATGCACATTGCCAAAGGTCATTACCCAAAGATGAAGGTACATAAATCAATTGCAAACTTGAAATATGACATGGACAGATCATGTCTTCTGCTAAACCACCAGGGGGCAATAGAAGACTTCATTTGAAAGTTCAGAAAAATTCAGAAGTTTGCCCCAAAAAGAACATCTCCTGTTGGCATCCTTTTTAAACTTAAAAACTTTTATGGAGACTGGGACACTTTTTCTACCATGTGTCATGTGCTGCTTTCTGATTGCTAGCTCACTGAAAAGCCTGCATTAAGAAGCTGTATGTCTTGAGATTTAAATTCTCCAAAAACCTGTAGTAGATAACTTGCATGTCTTTCGTTTAGCTGCTCATGATAAATACCGTATTTTTTGGAGTAAAAGATGCTCTGAAGTATAAGACACACGTAGCTTTTAGGGAGGAAAACAACGGGGGGGGGGGCGAAATCTGCCTCTGCCTCCCAGCAATTTGCCTCATTGCAACAAACAGCAAACAGTAGAGACGATATACACTGTTTGTGGTGTTACATTTCAGACTATACTTGTACAGATGTTGTTAAAATTGATGTGCTTCCTGGAAGTATCGTTATTCTCTGCTATTTAAAAGAAGATACAATAGCACTGGGCCTCTTCAGATCAAGCATTTATTTTAAAAAGCTTCTTCATTTTGTTA